TTTCAAAGGACAGTTGCAGCTCTGCAGCGGCACCTCAGTTAATGAGTGTATAGAAAAGAATTTATCTGAAGAAGAAGAAAGTGAAACTCAACAGCCTTTCAGGCACATGAAACTAGCTTGGAGAAAACTCTGAGATGGTGGCAGCTACTTAAGAAGAAAATTCAGCTGAAAATAAATGTACAAAGAGTTCAAAATTCCAGTAATGTGTTTTCCCCTTGTCACTTATTGCTCAGATTGTGAAAAGTGTTAAAAGCTGGAATGCAGATTTCTCCGACTAATCGTTATATGAGTGATCGTGACCATATATTATTCCTTAAGTTTTCTGGCAGTCCCTGTAATTTCAGTCACGAAGAACTACTACAGCTTCTTTGAAATGTCATGTATGCTTCATCATGGATTTAGTTAGAATTTAATATTATTATACGACCATTTTCAATGTCAGCAAATAGCTTAAAATACAATGTTGGGAAAATAGCAGCAGCAGTAACTTGACTATTATTAGCATAACTAACAAATTAATTCCCATTAACCAAGTACAACCATTTTCTTTTTTTATTTTTTTGAATCGATGGCTTATGATAAAAGGTGTCTCCCTTCAATTAAGCTCCTAACTAGCTTGGCTCAACAAATAGTGTAACTCACCATGTTAAAATATCTGAGAACAAACTTATCTTACAAAAATATTAAGAATAAATACAGTAAGCTTTCAGACAAAGGATGGTTGTCAGGTTCTTAGTATGCAATGTAAAACTGTAATATTCCATCTAGTCCTGTAGTTTTCTAATAAGTCTTTGTGATAAGGTTAACACCTCAACACAGAACAACATACAAATAAGAACACCCAAAGATGAAAATTACTTTGCTTATGTTGCTGTATTAGAATTTTATTTGCTAAAGGGTGAAAACAGATTTGCAAAATTCACAGTTAACTTAAAACAATAGTTTTAAACCTTTTATTCCTAGCCCTGGCTGCCTTCAGGAAGGAAAGAACATCTGGTTATTTAAGGAACACAATATGTTCACATTTTCTATGACTTTTGTTTCTAATTGGGTTTTTTAATTTTTTTTTATTTGAACAACTCTAGTTAGAACTATGTTTTTTAATCACTTTATATTCTTCCACTGCCCTATCTCCGTATCTCTATTTCTTAATTTCACAGCCTTTGCTTTGAAAATTAAAAGTGCTCAATGGTTTTGATAAGGAAAAAAATGAAGAAAATTGGCCACTCGTGGGATATTAAATACACAGAGACACACCTTCAGCAAATGCTTTTGGATATACACAAAAAACCTTCCCTTATTTTCTCGTTTCACATATACATACTTTTAATAGCCCATTCTTCCCTAAGAAGCTCTACTTTTATATTCAGAAGGACTAGAAGTGCATAGAAGTTACTTTCATATAAATAATTGAGGTAATTATCTGTTCAAAGATTAGAAATGTGAAACAAATACTCTGCTAAGCAGGTTAACTGTATCGCCCTGTGCAAAGACAACACCACTGATTTGAGGTTTTCACTCTACATTTTCCTAAGAACCGGAGCTAGCCAAATGCAGAAAAGGCTGAAACACAGTTATTCTGCATTGATCCATACCCAGGTCTGTAAAATTAGTAGCTCTCAGGCCCCCCTTCAGAGACAGGTGCATTAACTTGTTTTCAGCTATTATGAAGATCTATATTTCTCTTCCGTGGCACTGGAATATATCAGGGATGTGGAATCTAAAACGTCCTCTCACCCCAACTTCCAAGTGGGGTCTGCTAAGTCAAAAGGAGAGCTGCTGCACGCGTTAGATTAATGGCAACCACTAATTACTTTTTGTATTATTGTTATCGGTGGATAATGCTAAGGCTTCTGCTAAGGTTTGATTCCACAAAAGGTCAAGAAATTGTATCTGTCCATCTGTCAGAAAAAAATGCCACCCATCCTTTAAGTATGGCTTTCTTTTGACATTTAGGTTGCTCTGCTGGTGACGACTGCAGTGAAAAGTAGCAAACAACACGCGACAGGTTCATCAAGCCACAGTTTAGCTCTCCTGATAGTTCACAAGACAAATAAGTAAGGAGGCGATATCTGCTATGTCAGACCAACGAAACAGAAGAAATAATGGATGTTATCAGATGTGCAAACCCAGATTATCTCCAGAATTGGAAATTAAGGATGGAAAGCCCATATCAGGTCCATCTTAACTACTTCACCATTTATGACAGGATTGTTCCTTAAGAACCTTTCAGTTTTATGTACATACAACCAACCTTTCTTAGTCCAAATACCCCACAACTTCCCCTCAGTGAGATTATCTGGCATTTACGTAGCTGCAAAAATAATTCGAAAGACAATATATATTATCAGACCTGCAAGAGACAGATTCCTGTTTGTCCCTGTCCATGACTTCTAAACCGCATTTCTTGTCCAGCTGAGATTTAAAGCTCCAAGGGCCAGAAAGCAAGCCTCCCTCAGATATTTGGAATGACACTAAACATTCTTGCTATGTTCAACAAATAATGAAATAAGCCACTGGACCACGCAAGGGGTCTCCCACAGAAGAGTTCCCCGACTTCACGTATTAAAATGCAAGCAAAATCTTGGAAGAAATGCCACACAGAAGAACTCAGCCCTGGCTCAGGAGATCTAAAATGTACTGAACCAGATGTAATTTCCCATTAGAAACTATAAGCTGGTGACAGAGAAATGCACGGGAAAACATCAAAGGAGGAAGAAAAAATCATTAAGCACTGAATTTGCTAATCATCACTTACAAGTTACACTACTGACTAAAATCTCTTTGTCTTTTCTTCCAATCTCCTTTTATCTGCTCAGGGAATAAAGGCAAACTGAATTATCTTTATGCAGATAGCAAAAAAAAGGTATCATAATTTTCCCACTTATATTGGTATATAAACTGTGTTCTGGCTTCAGATTCCTACAGCACCCACGATGTCTTGTTGAGTCTTCCCTTTCATTCTGTGCAATGAAAAATTTTGACAGACTTGGAAAATCTTTATGCGTGGGTCTTAAAGAATAACAAGACTTCCATTTCAGAAATACGTTGGATTGAACCAACATATGCTTAAAGACACATAAGCAAAGCTTAAAATCATGCCGAGGGAAAGATAAAAAGCAGGTATTCAAGTCATAGCATTGAAAATATATTTTTCTCAGACAAGGAGCTAATTTTTTCTTTTAGAGTGATCCTTTAGAACAGTTTGACTTCCTTACTGTAAGACGTCCAGATCTGTTTATGCAGCTTCAACCCAAAGACCCAACATAAAATGAGAGGTGGCTGGAAGTCCCTCAGGGCCCTTCATTCTCCGGAAATCCCAGCTTCCTATCCTAACCTTCAGACTTTCCCAAGCAGATAAGTACAGCTCAGAAAGGAGAAACAATTGTAATTAATCATATTTAAATTGACAAAACAACTAGCACTCTTTGCATGAAAGAGCTTTAAGTACTTATTCACCTGAGCGAAGGGAGAACTACCTGAAAGACACAGTAGGAACTATATCCACTATTTTTCTGAAAGGTGTTCAAGGCGCACCTGAGAATGTTAACTAATAGGACACTGAGGCTTTATGAGCCTGACAACCTTGACAAGAGCGTAAGGAGCAGAATAGTGATCAAGCTTCTTTTACGGGAAATTGGCGGTTTATTTTTGTCCCCTTCAGCTAGTAGGATATCTTAGATACTGCCTAGGATGCTTTTGAAGACAGCTGAATAATTAGTAATTATTCTATCTTTTAACATATACCTTCAATAAATGATAGATCACATTTTGGATTTAGTTTGATATCTTAGGACACTTTTCCTCCCTCTGTATCTTTGCCTCTAACAAACACATCTATCTTATTTTGCTAAGAGAGTACATAAATAAATGCTGGGAAGTCTGATTTCACAGACTGCTGCTGAAATCTTAAGAAAGATTCCGGAGATCTAACATTACAAACTTTCTTACACGCTGAAAAGTTGATACACTTTACTTCTCGTCATGAAAGAAATCTTTGTGCCAGAAAGGAATGAAGAAAGCAGCTGTAAGGATGCAGATTTCTGCAAAAAACTGATATAGAAACAAAGAGACATTTTTTTCTTAATCCATAAAGTGTAAACATTGGTACTGAATGAAATTTTGCAGAAGGCAGTCAAGAGTGCAGAAGTGATGAATTTTTCACTTTCAAAGGTGACATGCATCAAGAAGATGAGGGAAATCAGACTTTACACTGGCAGCCTACTAATGGGACGTGCACAAAGATAGTTCAAAACCAGCAGCACAAATTCTGCTATCTGCCAGAGATCTGAATACTGTGAAGATTACTGCATACAGCTTTATCTCAAACACTTTATCCACTATACTGTGGATATCTGCTGTATATTATAGGCACACATATACACATGCCATTCTAAAACAGCAAGAGGTTTGCTTTTTTTTTTTTAGTATAGATGAGTATATCAGAAACTGTATGCTAGTAATATGTAACATAAAATTAATTAATTTATACATTTTTTCCATGTGAATCTTTTCAGCCTGTAACAGCACTCTTGTTTTTAATTGAAAACCATCACATAACTATTATATACTTGGCAGGGGTAGCGCTTTAAGGATTAACTGATTAATCTTCAGCAATCTCATGAAAAAGGTCTTACAGATGAAATTGCATGACAGTTTCTACACAGCTTACTAGATTATATAAAATATTACTGTTTCCCTCAAAAGTATACTTTATTATGAAAGATGTCTGTGCAGAATACCAAGCAAAGGTATAAACATCTAAAGTTACCAGGGCTCCTGGATAACTTTAGCAAAGTAGTAGGATAATATCCTTTAAAGAGTAAAGAAACGTGTTCTGCTCTTGGTTACCAATGCTTTCCTTCAGCTTTTTTGGCAGGGAAGAAGAAACTTGAAACTACAGTTTAGTCCCCAAAATGTAGGTTGTTATTAACTTCATAGTATTTAGAATAATTTATTACAGAGATTTATTCCCTGAATTTACAAAACGAGCATCTCACCTTTGGATCTCGGAGAAAAAGTGCTCTTAGGATAAGGGAGTGAACATCTCCAATAGGTGGATAATGCATCAGAAGTCCCAAACAGGTTTGATAATTACTTGAAATCACTATAATGAAAAAAAAAAAGAGAGAGAGAAAAGAGTGAAATAGTGAAATATCTTATTTTGACATTCCAAAACAGTACCTTTTTCAGTAGATTCCTTTCAGTTCAGATTCAGCTGTCTTTTCCCACATCAAGTCTCCTAGAACTCAAGCAGTGCTCAGAGTAAAAAGAAGATACTGCATAATCAAGCTTCAGGACTACTCTTGGTCCAATATCATTAAGGACAATGCTAAACCTACCACTGACTTTATGCCATAGACATTTATGTTAGCTCCAGATTTAGATGCCTAAATTTAGATCTCAGTAGCTGTGCACCTAAAGCCTGCCTGAGTCAGGGCAATACAGTCAGTGGAGCCTGAAGAACTGGTCCTACACTGCAAAATGGACACTCATCTGCAGACACCTAAATTTAAGTATGATAATTTATGAGATAAAGTTTTACATTTGGTCTTGCTTTTACGATAAATTTTCCCCACTCTGACAATTCTTTGCTGAACTATCTTTTGTTGTTCTTATGTACATATACACATATATGTCCACACACACACATATATATACACATGTATGTAAAAAGATGTCAGCAACTCCTTGTTTTCTCATAAATCACAAAACTATTCACGAAATGTTCAGGAAAAAGGGAAAAGGCTAGATTTTAATTTCATAAATACTTATAATATACCATTAACTTCATTAGAATTTTTTACTTATTCAGGAAATGTTCAGCACGTAATTGTGCTTGACTTCATCTGAATCTATGTAAGTATACTCTATGGTTCTTTGCCTGTTGTTGTCATCTCCTGTTTTGTTTTGTTTTTTCCTCAAATCAATCTAATTATGAGTGCAATTATTAAAGACATCTTTTCAGGCAGGTCTATGTAAACTACTTCATTTCTTTTGCACCATCTAAATCCAGGCAATCCATCTGCCACAGCTGTCAAAGCAATGCCTGTTAATGATGCTTGCACTCTGCAACATAAAGACAGACTCTAACGATAGTAATTGTAAATAAATTTTTAACCAACTTTACTAGTCTGAGAACTTTAGCTGTAGCAACAAATACTTTCAATTAATCAGGCCTCTACACCAGAAAGGATCATTGCAAACACAAAACTATTTTGAATCAATAAAGGGCAAAATAAATGACTGTTTTGCAGACAGAAAGACTTAAATGTTTTACTTCTTTTCTTTCAAGTGAATAAGCCTCATATCCTCCTGTACCTTTTCTCCCTCAACAAGAGGATTATGGGGGAAAGATGCAGGACTGGGCAAAATGAATAATTATAATCTGTGTAGGG